TGTACTGTACTGTATTTGTTTTTATAGTATATACTTTCTGAAAGCTGACATTCAAATGAATCATCCATTTTTGTATTGTTATAGAATAAGGTCATCCAATTTTTTTATATATTTTTTCTTCTTGTTCTTTTTGTTTTAGGTGGTAATCCAATGGCGATCGTCAGTAAACAAGTTAATATGGAGCTAGCTAAGATAAAACAAAAATGCCCCCTGTACCAGAGCTCTGGAAACACAGTAAGTACCTAAGCTTATTATTTTTTATCAAAGCATATATTTCTTTCACAATACCAGATATACTAATTGAATGTTTTCCTATCTATATCTCTGTATTCGAAGCCCCGGCCATTATAATGGTGTTTGCTTGTGTGTTACTATCGTAATCTTCCTATATAATAAGTGTGCCTTCCAGTTCCCCAGGTTGTCCCCTCCACTCTTGATCTCCATTGCAGTTGTTACTTTGAATGTGTTACTAATGATATCTTCCTATGTATTCCACGCGCTGACCATTCAGGTAAACAAGGACAAAGATGAAATGGTGGAGCGTGAGTTCAACAGACTTCTAGAGGCGACTTCCTACATGTCACATCAATTGGATTTCAACTCCATCAACACCAAACCCCTTTCACTTGGACAGGCATTAGAACTTGTCATTAAGTAAGTTTATCAAGATCTGTGCCACTATCAAATTGTATGTGACAAATAAATGTGATATGCCCATATTTGGGTGGGATACGAGATCATCATGCCCATATATGGGCACATATCACACATATTTTGTCACATAACATTTGATAATGTAGACGTATATTTATGATCTAGAAGTATTTCCCACAAATCACCAAGTTGTAGGATATAATATTAAGCTAGCAAGTTTTCTCATCTCCATCTTAGCACAGCTTCCAGGAAATCCCAGGATTTAACATTGCTCCAAGCTATCTATATGACCTGCTGACCTTAACTTAGAAGGTTCATAAATTGATAAATCTTTTTCTTAAGCCCTATCCAGACTATCAAATTTTATTTGACAAACGTGTAACATGACTAAATGTGGTCATGATGACATCACATCATGACCATATATGGACACATCATGACTATATATGGATATACAACAGGTTTTTGTCAAAGAAAATGTGACAGCAAAGCTTAAGACAGTGTAAATCAGTTTCTTTAGATTTTCCTTTTCTTTTTAGATTACAGGAAAAGCAGGTGAAGGAGAAAAAACTTGATTTTCATAAGAACATTCTGACTATCCAAGAAGAAATGAAAGTCATTCAGGCCAAGGTTTGTACAATGATACAAAAGCTAGCTCTACATATTATATTACTGCCACTTCCAACAATTAATACAATACAGTTGCCAATTCTAGGATTGAACTTTTAAAAATTCAATTAATTAAAGATATGAACTGTGTTCAGTTGAAAATTTGAACATCAATAATTTAATTAACTAATAGTGTATTTAATTAAGATAGTGGTTTTTAATTACAAATTATAAATTTTCCTGGCCAACTATAAAATGGATAAATAATAATGTTTTAATTTTAATTTAAAATCTTTTCTTTTTATAAGATGTTGACACTGCAAGACAAGATCAAGATCTTACATGACCAACATAAAGATGCCTTTGAAATTAGGTCACCAAGAGAAATAACAGCAGAATTCTTAGTGAGAAGTAAGCATAGAGACCTAATTCAAGCTTGGAAGGTATGATTGTGTATAATCAATAAGCGATTATTATTTAAGATACAATAGACGTGATTGCATTATTTTGTGTAAACACCAAGGATGACCCATAAGCCATAAATAAATAAATTAATAAGCCCCAAAACCTTATTTCTAGTGGAGACCTTTTGGTAGTGATTTGGCAGTACACCAGCAAACTGTCCCCTGCTTTTTTTCTCAAAAGAGTGTCTGTCCTGCTATCCTTAGCAGCTTCTGACCTCTAGCCACTGGGAGACAGATACCCCTACCTAAACCTGCACAAATCAAGGTATGAGACAATAGCATATTGCATGTAAATAATTGAAAAAAAACAGAAAAACTTGCAAAAAGTGGAGTAATTGCATATTCTGTGCGGTTGGTTAAAAAAGAAAAAAAAAATAAATAAATTTAGCCACTGAAAATAGATCAGATATTGGCACCCATTGACTAAACAATCTAGTTAGCATATTACATCCCATGATTTTTTTAATTATATTTTGAATACATTTTAATTGAGAGAATGACAATTGTGATTTCCTCTTGAAAGCAATTTGTAAATGTGACTACATTGAATTACCTTTATTATTAGTGGTGTATTTATTTTTAGTATTTAAAAATACTAAACAAATCTTTCCTTTTTTAGTAAATCATTAATAAGTTGGTTTTAAAAATGTTTCTTTTTCAGGAATTTGATGACTTGAAGGAAAAGCAGAAAGAATTGGATGAAAAAGTGCAAGCAATGGAGTCGAACCCTCCCAGGTATTAACTAATGCTCCACTCCCTAAGCCGGGCACTCGCTACGACCGTCGCACGACGAATCCAACTTCCCTTCCTGTGAGCGCTAGACGACGCGACGCCGTCTGTTGATTGTCAGTCGTCGGAACGGATAGCCATTCAAAAATGATCTGTTGTGCTCGCGTCGTCACGTTGCGTTCTTCATAGAATGCAACGTGAAGTTCACTGTTTAGCATATTCTTGGCCATAATGCCTAAAACTGAATTAAAAAGTTCTCGTAAAATCTTGAAAACTCCAATGAGGGCAGTATAATACAGGCAGTAGAGCTTAAAACGATTTGTTAATTAATCAACTATTAATCAAGCAGTCTTATGAGGGCAGTGTAATAGAGGCAGTAGATCTAATAAGTATCTATTAATCAAGCAGCCGAGTGTTTCTAGAGCTCCTCTTCGGAACTAAAACAAAGAATAAATGACAAAGGACTGGCAACATGGTATTCAGGGTAATGATAATAATCAAAAGTTATGTTTTTACTTTTTTCAGTGATGTTTACTTGTCGTCAATTGATCGGCAAATCTTGGATTGGCATTTTGCCAACTTGGAATTCGCCAATGCCACCCCACTCTCGACACTGTCACTTAAGCATTGGGATCAAGACGATGACTTTGAATTTTCTGGCAACCATTTAACGGTCAGGAATGGTTACTCATGTGTCCCTGTAGCACTGGCTGAGACCCTCGACATCAAACTGAATACTATTGTCCGACATGTTCGCTCCAATGTAGCTTCAGGTACGTCAGAACTTGTTATTTTTTACGTAAATTTTTCCCAAGGTTTATTACTAAGAATTCTTCAACCCTTGTCTCTCCTATATTTGTTCAATTTCTTTAGAATTAAAAAAAATAAGATACAGGGGTGTTGGCTAGTTTCAGTCTTGGGGAGGGACGCCTGAATCAAGAATGCAGAACTAAATTCCTACTCCAACGGAAAAACTCAATGGTCATTTAAATTAACTTTTGGTTCTATGAGCCTACATCCATGCAGTATGTTAACTGGTCCCAGTCCATGTTGTGATTGTTGAAAAATTACCTACATTTGTACTGTTTCAGGTGTTGAGGTGGTCACTAATACATCTAAGGGTCAAGGCAGTTACACTTATAAAGGTGATGTTGTGCTCTGCACGCTTCCCCTTGGCGTTCTTAAGCAATCTCCACCAACTGTCCAGTTTGTTCCCCCTCTTCCAGAATGGAAAACATCGGCAATACAAAGGATGGGATATGGAAACTTAAATAAAGTAATTCATTTTTTGAAATGTATCATTATTTATCGTTATTGTATTATACTTCATTATACTATTATGTTGTTTAATATTTCATACTTATTATATTTTGTCATTCATAATTGAATATATTATTATTATTTTGATTATTATTACTATAATATTGTTCGTTATATACAGTAATTTATCTAGCATTAATACTCTGATTAATATGTATTATCATTTATTTTTTTACTACTTTTATTGTAGTTTGTTATTATTGAGACATTTGCCATGACGTAATGTTGAAGAAGCGTGAATGTTATGATTAATGCTGTTGAGATTGAGATTTATAAATTGTTTTTTATAAAATTTTTCTCTGCATTTATTATTAAATGTATTTATTTTCCTTAAACATTTTAATTCCCAAATGATTATGGTTTGATTTTAACAGGTGGTTCTGTGTTTTGATAAAATATTTTGGGATCCGTCAGTGAACCTGTTCGGTCACGTTGGCAGTACCACAGCCAGTCGTGGTGAGCTGTTTCTCTTTTGGAACCTCTACAAAGCCCCTGTTTTACTTGCTCTAGTGGCAGGCGAAGCTGCCCAAATTATGGAGAATGTTAGTGATGATGTGATTGTGGGACGATGTCTTGCCGTCCTGAGGGGTGTATTTGGGCAAACTGCTGTGCCGCAGGTAGGCAAATTGCAAAGCATATGAATTTATATAGTGTCTCATGTTTACAAACTAAGTTTTTGACTATGGTTATTGTATACAGAATACATCATACATAACATTGCTGATAATTGCTGGCCCGGAAACCTAGACTCGAAAATACCATGTTGGTGTCCGTTAAGGGATAGTTTTCCACCATAGCTTAGGACTTAATGTAAGGACTAGAGGGATATGCAATACAATAAGAGGCTATGTTAGTATGGTTTTGGTATTATTATTATTATTATTATTATTATTAACATACAATCGTTAATACTTCCTTGGCAGTATTTCTTGACATGCATGTCTATATTGATGTTAAAGTATAAGTCATATCCTACCATGTATTAGCCCTAAACTAAAGGGCCCATTTCATTTACAACTCTTAGATTGGAAGCCATGATGGTACTCCACATGCATACACTACATGCATTCATTGGATACTGGTACCGCTGCTGGTACCGCATGGTACCACCTTACACTGCCACAGCATGCACCTGTTTTCACTACATGTTTTTACCCCTTAGTTTAACACGGTAGCAAAATGGTAATTAGAGTGGCTTGGATTCGGTTCCTAATATCAATCAATGCATTTATTAATAATATTAACAAAATTTATCAATTATTTTGATTTTGTTTTCTACTTATATCAAACCATTTCCACCTTTTGAGCTAAACATTCAACAATTTTGTGACTGTTTTTTTCTTGTATTTTTTTTAGCCCAAAGAAACTGTTGTTACGCGATGGAGAGCTGACCCGTGGTCTCGGGGTTCGTACTCCTATGTAGCTGCCGGTTCATCGGGCAGCGACTATGACTTGATGGCTACACCGGTGACCCATGCTCCCGTGGCAGGCTCGCAAACGACTAACTTGCCGAAACTTTTCTTTGCTGGCGAACATACTATCAGGAACTACCCAGCCACAGTCCACGGGGCCCTGCTAAGTGGACTACGTGAAGCAGGACGCATTGCTGATCAGTTGCTTGGCCCATCCTATGCACCCCCACCTGTGTCCAGGCCACCTACCAAATGAAGAAGTTGCCCAAATTGAAACTGTATACTTGTAAACAATATGAACGTTATGAGGTTCAGGAAATAATTATACAATCCAAGGATGAATATAATTTTGATAGCTCTTTGATCTTTTATAAAACATTTAGCATTTGCCTTTGCATCCTATATAGGGCTTGCAATCCAAAAACCAGCGTACTGTCACTAAATATTAATCTGAGTAATTAGCATAAGAATGTAGTAGCATTGTATAATTGAGTACAGAGAAGCTGCAATACTTTTACTCATGCTTTGGCAACAGTTAGTGCAATTAAATGTTCAGATAAAAATACTTCTTTATCTCCTAGTACTGTATGCAAGATTTTCCTTTCCCAAACTGGCTAATAGCTTAGCTATTCCTAATCAGTAAACTGGTTATTCTTACAAACTCACAAAATTTATATCTTAGTACAGTATGTAAAATTGTTTCTAAATATGGTTATATTATTACTAGACTGGAACGTTACTGTTAACCTATTATTATTATTATTATTATTATTATTATTATTATTATTATTATTATTATTATTATTATTATGTGAGCTATATTATTTGTTACTAGCAGTGGTGGCTCCAGTGTCAGAAATCTGGGTTGTGTGGAGAGGGGGTGCAAAGTAGGACCTGCACCCTGCAATTGTCACTTGATTCTATCAAGCATGCTACAAGTGGCATCATAAAGGCTTACAAGAAGCGTGTCCAGCTTGCAGTGTCTTAATGATAAGATGGGAAAATGAACATATTTCTGGTACTTATCGTGATAAGCTTACTAAAGGCAAAGCGATTGATATGATTGTGGGAAAAACTGGGGGAAGGGGCCCCTGTAGTGCCGCTAATGGTTAAAAGTTTAAGTGATTGGTTTGTAGGTATCTTTGTCTCATTATTTATTTATTAATATGCGAGCCTGTTTTATGATTGGCTACATGCTAAATATGCAACCAAGAAGTATATTCGCATCAGGTTTTTTGGTTGGCAGCATGGCTATGCCTAATTCAATTGGTTGATCCCATAATTTGCTTAAATTGTTATCTAACAGGCCTGTGTCTAACAACATAACAAGTATCTGTTAGTGAACTTCAGAGACCATTTGATTGGTTGATAGCGTAACTTGATAATGCTAACTGTCCTTAGTCTAACAAAATAAACATGCTGTATTTGTTAGTATGTTAGCTTGTTTTCTGAGACAATACGATTTGTTGAGAGCATACCTTTGCTTAATAAATGGTTGGCTAACTGCCCTTTGTCTAACAACATAACATGCTGTTAGTATGTGAGCTTTTCTTCTGAGGCAGTATTATGATTGGCTGATAGCATTACCTCCCTTAAACAATTGGTTAACTTGCCTGTTGCTATGTAAATATACTATTTGTCATATTCCCATTTGGATAATTAAAAGATTCAGTAGAAATTGTAAATGCACTTCTGAGCAAAACTTTTTTATTTTTGTATCCTAAAAATTAAATAACATTTTCAAACACTTCACTTCACTCAATAATTTTATACAAGAATATGCATTCATAATCTCATTTTATACGGTTTTAACAACCACGAATTGTCATTGTTAAAATTGAAAACGAAACAACATTTTGTTTTCTGAAGCCAAACAAAAAATGAGTATGAACATAACATTGAGTAATTCAATTTCTAAAAAAGTTTGTCTTTAGAGTGACTAGGGGCTAGGTGACTGAAAAAAACAAGAGATTGTTTTTTTCTTAAGTAAATAGAATACGGTAGGATACAGTAGCCAGTGGCAAAAGTGCTATGAGCTCATACTAGCAAAATCTGGGGCCCCAAGACATTAAAGGGCTGTGGAATATAATTTTTCATTTTGCTCCAAATCAGCCAAGTGTGACCTTAGGAGCAGAGCATATAACATCAAAATATTCCATTAAAAGTCAAAAACACCGAAGCAGGGGGTATGTAAAATTTTACTACAGTAGTCGTGTTATTGGACCTAAACTGAAACTGTAGCAGGTGGATGACAATCTATGCAATATAATAGGTATTGTAAGCACAACAATGGACACAATAATTAGAGGAATATCTGTATTCAATATGAAATTCTTTATTCAAATTCTGAAAAGTTGGTTAAAGTATCTATTAATAATATTGATTTTCATTAACATAATTTGTACAATAAGATGAGATATGTTTTACCGTAAATGACCAAATAAACACCAAGGCACCATACAATTTTGAATGGCTTTGGTGCAGTTCTAAATCTCGGTTAATTATTTGCGAGTGGATTGAATTATTGGAATATTAAAATGCTTCCTTTTGTTGTACCCTGGAGGATTTCCACCATAGTTGTACATAGGTCTATCTGCAACATTACTTCTTAATCTGTTAAGAAATTAGGGACATATGCAATGCTTATTGTGACTCAAATCAACTGCCATCAACGACTTTTGGCAACTTTTCAGGGACTACAAGCAGCTGGTTAGCTACTGTAACTTTATAGTGGTGGGTATGTTCCTGAAAATTGGCTTATACTTTGTGAATATTTACCTGGATAAACTGACAAACTTTTGTGGTTGTAAAATGTTCTCCAGCCTGCCTACTTTTGATTGTTTATCTGTCATGCAGTGAATATATATTTGCACTAACAGTCTGGTAATCAGAGAAACATTTAAAAGTAGTGTCAATTCAAACTTTTTAATCAGTTATCTCCATCATGAAATTTCCATGTGCTGTATGATGTGAGAGATAGCGATCAGAAAAAAATTCTTGTACACGATGTGTTCAAAATACCCTTAACCATGTAAGCTCTACATGTTCACGCACCTTAATCAATCCATGACATGATGCAAACCAGGCATTTTGTATGCATATTAACAGATCATTATTCAGGAGACATACAGTATCCAACCCAGTATGGTTTAACCATCCAATGATACTATATAGGTCATATTTTAAGACCTTATTTTTTTAATACGGATGGCAGTAGTGAAACAAATAGTATTTTTATTTGTATCACTTTCATCTTAGCAGTACAGTCAGTTCACGCATTTCTCAACAAGAAACTTTTGTTCATTTTTTCAAAGTTTTGCGGATGAGGGCCATACGTTGTCGATGAGCTTCTGTGACATTGGGCCGTTTGTAGGTTCGTATCTCTTCACCGCCAAAACCAGGTACCCATATGTTCCAGTTGCGTTCTGTGAAAAATAAGAAAGCAAACCTAGGTATTTAATTTACTTCATTGAATATTCTAGCTGACAATAACAGAAAAAAACCCAATAATTTAACTTTAAAATGAAAACATACTGGATACCAGTCACTCACACACAATGTATAACCCCCTCCACTCTTTGTGGCATAGGCTGGGGAGCATGACTACCGTCACCCTCCCTCCCGCGGCAGCAAATTATATGTAATACTGGAATAGAAATGTAGTTCCTCTTTCTTAAGCATTGCAAACCCCCCAGTTCTTCACTCCCCCACCCCCTACGCCCTGATGGGCCCCGGTGTTTTCTTGTAGCTAACTCAGCACACATGATTAACTTAATTTTAGTCACTTTTGTTTAAGCCTGGTGTAACAATAGCTACTGGTTTTTTTCTATACTTGTAACAAGCAGAACATACCTAGGTATAACTGGACATCCTTCACTTCAAGGGTATTTGACTTGCGATGCTTAGCAAGCTGGCATGAAGAAGTAACAACGGTTTCGATAAAATCATCAGCAATCTGTAACAACATCTGCAAGACAACATGTATTTACTTGTACAAAGACATGTTTATAACTAGTTTGCACATTAGTTTTATGTTTATAAAATCAAAGTGTTTTGAACATAAATTTTGTTTGACCCTTTGAGTTTGTTTACATGTTCTATTGAGTAAAACGTTTGAAGGGTACAAAAAATATCTTATTGGCATGTCTGATTGTATTACTGTAAAGCATTATTATTATTGTTATTATTATTATTACTGTATTGATTATTCCTTATTTAGGCACATGGGCAAGAAATGGAAAAAAAGTAGGTCTAAAGTCGCAAGACCATTGATACAAGGAAATAAGAAGTCTAATAGTAAATTAAAAAATATCCCGATAAATTGATTTAAATAAATGATTAGCAAACTGCTTGCCCACTTGACTGATTGATTGATTGACTGACTGATAAAATAATTACTTTTAACTTACCTCTTCAACATCATCATCTAACTGTTCATTCGGGTCCACTTCTCGTACAAGATCTTGAAGTTTCTTCTTGTCCAAAACCTAATAAGAAACAAAAACAAAATTCAGATGTAATTTATTCCTCTTTAACATAGCTGGCTAGATTGTTCCTTCCTAAATTCAAGCACTCACTAAAGCCTAGCTTCCTTACAATCGCTACAATGTTGCTACATGTTTTCCGTGCAATCGCACTGCGTAGCAGTCCTAGGTGCAATCGGGAAATCTCAATTGATTCGGCCAACCAATCAGCATGACCACAATCTGTCGGCGAATTGTGTAGCGATTGTATGGAAACCAAGCTTTAGAAGTATGACATACCCAGCTCCACTCCTTGTGAGAAGAGTGCGATGGTGTCTGCTAATTTTTGGTGGAAGTATGAATGGATTGTCATTAAAAACAATCCATTTCAAGTCATAAAGTCACGTTCCTCATAGAATCATGTCAGCCGACAAATGTTGAGTGCAGTGAGTTTCCGCTTAAAACAATGCCCTAGATATTCATAACTGCCGGTCAGTTCGGCATAGGAATTTTATTGACCTTACCACCACCGATACTAACACAAATTACCATTACCCTCAATTATAGAAAGAAAATATAAGAAATACCTGTGCTTCGCTAACTGCTCCTATTGCTGCACAAATTTTTTCTTGTCCTGAGGTGACGGGACTAGCTTTACCGATAGTTGGTGGGGCGCCACCTATGCTTTGTGCAGATACCGAGTTAACAGGTAATTGCGTCGTGGAAATTGCCATTGATGCACCAGGCTGACTTGTCGTGGCCACCCCTTGAGTACCTTTTGCAGAACTTGAAGTCTGTTGAGAGGTTTTCCACTGGTTTTGCAACTAAAAATGAGAATAATTCTGACTTCAGACACCTTGCTTTCTGGATTGGGTTTTATTTTGTTGGCTGTGAGAACAATGAGCTTCTCCTTAACATTTTGTTAAGCAATATTGATGATGTCATCATTGTCAAAATAAATGTTTTTTCTCATCCCCCTCATTTTTCCCTTTAAATCTTTATGAAATTTTATGATTTATTATAAATCGACCTCCGCCAGAGGGCGGCAGACTGGTTTAGAAGACTGACACAAGTAAACTTCATATCAAGGGTCAACTTAATGTGATATTACCACCTGCATGTGCACGTACGTGCGCGTTTATTTTTAAATTCTCAAGATCACGTTTTGAACAATTTGAAACAGGTTTCAGGCCATTTCAATTATTATTATTATCATTATCAGGCCTAAAAAAATGGTTTGTTTGCTGTCACATTGTAAATATTTAAAGTAAAGGGGCGGGTGGAAAAATGTGTTTTTTTTAATGAAAGATTACCAAAACGGTCAGTATAGAAGGGTGAGGATAACATTTTTTTTTTATATGTAGAAACTGAACATATGTACACTATCTCCTTGCAAATTGGGGATAATTTTTTTGTGGTTTGGGATTGGAAGAGGGATCTTTAATTGGAGTAAGACATGTGATTAAAATAAACTACTGCACTGTGTATCAGGTGAAGCTCACCAGCTTCATTTACTTAATAAATGTGTTAAAAAAGCTAAAATCGCAACAACCAACATTGTATCACCTTGATAGTAGTAGTACAAACCACGAGGAGAAAAAAGTTTAGAGTTAACCAAGCGTGAAACGGTCGTAGTGGACATGTTTTGGAACCAGCGGTCGTGTAAAATCAAATTTGTGTCGAAAAGAAAACCATATTTTTTTTAACTTTAAAAAAAAAAAAAAAAACTTTTAAGAACAAAAAAAACCCGCTCATCATTTTTCGGATTTTAGGGATTTTAAGGTTTTTTTTTGCCGTTATTATTATTATTTATAATTATTAAGGTTGACTATAGCAAGCAATGTGTAAAGAATGACTCGAATTTTGCATTTAGAGTGTATAAACCAATGGAAGTTGTTGTGTTAAAGAAGGTGCTGATACTTTTTCCTGTTCCCCAAGTGCTCTCCTTAGAAGCTCTTTCAACTTGACTAAATCTTGTTCTTGCTTCGCTGAAATTGGACCACTCTCTAGAATCTAAAAATAGTTAAAAATTTTTTATATATATATATATGATATTGAAGGTAGTTAGCCGTTAACACTGTTGAATAAATATAATATAAACTAGAAATTGCAAGTTGCAAATGAAGTGCTGCGAAGTACAACTGCATATAAATGTTCTTCGAACAAAATTATTTATGCGAGTCAAACTGATGAACAATCCTGTAAATTATAGTTTTCAACAACCATAACAGCAACAACAAACAACATCATAACAATTTAAAATTTAATTAAATTGGGACCCAAATACTGAATATTGTGTTGAAAAGATGATTTATTATGTACAGGAGTTTAGGGTTCGTTTATTATCACCTATGATAATCAGAATTGTAATTAAACAAAGATTGAAATTGTAGGGGAGTAAAGAGTATATCCAAGAATACAGAAAAGTACACAGTCAAATTAAAGGTTTATGAAATAAACAAGTAAAGTGGAATGGTATCATCACTTACTTCAATCTGTTTTTCTATCTCCTTAATTGTTTCAAGAAGTGTTTTACGTGGTGCTTGAGCTGGTCTGATGACAGCACTCCCTTGAGCTTGAGTGAGAGTTACCTGTGACTGATTTGCCATCACTGGTGTAGAACACACTCATCAATATCAAAACACTTGATTACTGCAATTTAAGATATTATTCTCTGTTTAGTAAAAGGGTAGTGGTAATATGTAATTGTCTCACGATGGTGAAATCTATAGCCCCCTCGGTGATATGGAGGAGCCTGCTGTAGCCTATCTTTTCTAAGGATGCTAGCTTAATTATACTTAGATTTTCATACAGACAGTTTTTTGGTTAGGCCTAGGCGTAATTTTTGTTTTATTTTACTGGTAGGCCTAGTAGGTCTAGCCTAGGCCTAAATTCACCAACAAATAGTTGTATAGTGTACTGTACTAATTTTTATTTAATAAAGGCTAAAAATACAAAATAAACGATTCATGAATGAATAATTTAGATTCTGCCCACCGTACCGCCGCAGGTTTGCTCAGCCAGGACTCCGAGCGAATCCTATTATTACTCGGGCCTTGGTTAAGCTACTCCTTAAAACTTGTTCGCGGCCGAAACGGTCCTAGCCTAGCTAGGCCTAGTAGTAGGTAGGCCTAGCCTAGGCCTACGCGACGCTACACCCCTAGCCTAGACTTTTGGACTAAAACAACATATCCTCTACCTCAATATTAGACCTTCTTTGGCAAAAGCATGTTATCAGAATTTAGGGAATAACAAGTGTTAACTTACAATGAACACTATTACAGGAATACCAATCAATAATAAAAATTACCTAGGCTTAAGCCTAGCCCATCAATCTTGTTGCGTTCGATGTGAATGTGAAGTTGAGCCGCCAGCGAATGTTTTTTTTTTATCAGAGTGGGCGCTGTGGTAGTTATTCTTATAGTGAAGTAGAAACCTTTTCGCACACAGCATCAAAGGAGAGACTTTTTTTAATACTGTACTTCGAAAACAAATAAAATGTTATTTTTGATCAGTTAGCGTAGGCCTACCCTCCTCCAAGAAAAATGGAAATTTTAGAGAAAAAAAAAATCATTCATTACGCCTTTTCTCTCCAGAAATATAATATATAATACATCTATTGCATTATCAATCTTATTACTACACTGTTTATATTCATCAATAAATTATTTTATTTTTATTTTTTCCTCAGCCTCATGATTTTGACAAATGCATTTTACTAAATCAGAAAACATAATTTTATTTTTATTTGCTTCTGTCCACTTCTGACGACCTTTAAAAAAAATAAGTTTGATAAACAAATTATTAAAAAGTATCCCCAACCGAGGTTATTGAAACTAAGAATCAGGCCTATATAATATTTTGTTTTCATTTCTCATTTTTTAAAAATTAAAAGTCTAAGCTACTGTAAGTGCCCGGCATTATTCTTTCTTAAATAATCATAAAAAATTTTCATGGGAATGTGTTTAATTGTTAATCAGTTTATGTGTATGTATTTTTTACTTATTGCACAAGATTTACTGATTATTTTTGGAATTAAAGGTTTATAAAAGGATACTGTTGTGTGATTAATCCTGGTGCTTTCTAAGACGGAGTCGACGTTAAAGGTAAACAAAACACGGAAAAAAAAACTGTTCCAAAGGCACGTTTGCATACATTTTTATATCATTTGAAACATCTTACTTGAATCTATTATACTGTGTCACAATGGTGATCAGGCGTACAGATTTAAAGAAAAATACATACACTGTAAACAGCGTGGTGATTAATCCTGGTGTGATTAATCCTTGTGCTTTCTAAGACGGAGTCGACGTTAAGGTAAATAAAACTTCGAAAAAAACTGTTCCAAAGGCATATATTTTTATATCATTTGAAACATCTTACTTGAATCTATTATTCTGTGTATGATCAGGCGTACAGATTTCAAGAAAAATACAACAGCGTGGTGTCCCTGTGCATTTTTGCATACATTTGTGACATAGTTTTATGTACTTATTAAAACGGTGATACAAACCAAAGTTGTCAGTTATTTCATTTGAAACCAGTATCAGTATAATCTTAGGTAAGCATGTGGTTAATAAAAGCAAGAATTTAGTTACCACTGCGTCCCCACCGATCGATCTTACGTGACGTTATTACGTGGGTGTTTATAGATTATTGAGAATGGTAATATCACCTAAAAAATAGATACAATGACAGGTGAATGACCAACAAAGACAACTGAAGACAGTAGTTCATTCGTCAAAAGTTATTTATTATAACTTTATTCGAAAAATTAATCTCAAAATCGAGTTGGCGTCCCCGGCGTTGTCAGTGTTGTCGTATGATTTGTGCACTTTTTACCAATTAACCCCTAAGTAAAAAATAGTTGAGCCATGTAGTACCTTGCAAATCAACCCAGAATCCTGGTAGTTTGCTGATTGTTTATTGGTAGCGCCAGTAGGCTAGATTCGACTTAAATGAAATTACACACACGGTAGTCTACAGTTATAACGTTTATTCAGCAAGAACCAAACACAAGTAAATATCGACCAACAATGACTGACTCCGGTGCCCCGGGAGAGGGCGCACTATTGTTTACCATTGAATAACAACCCTGGCGTTTAGACAAAGACCCTGCAAGTCTACTCATACACTTAAATTAGTGTAGAAAACTAGATTGTGATTATTCACCGGACGTGCCGTCTTGATCCAAAATAATGACGTCGGTACGATGTTTCTTCAAAAAAATAACAGTTACATTGAATATTCTCAGAATTCTAAAATGCACGGAATTACTATTAATAATTCATTACTAATTACTAATTACTATTTCATTCATATACAAATAGTAAATAGGAAAAAAGTATTATCGTGCATGATAGGAAGGTAAAACGTCAACACAGTGACAGAGGTGCGTAGCGTCCTGATTGTCATGTGCACATCGTGATATCAGGAAGTGATTGAAGATAATTTCGTACTTGCCGTCTTGATCCAAATTAGTGACGCCGGGGAAATAGTTGATAGTAAATAACAGTATATCCACATAATTGTTGAATGCAGGGACATATCTCTAGTAATACATTAAAAATACAAATTATAATTCGGGACAAATAATTATCTTTACATGATATGAACAATGTCATGTGTACATCGTGAACTCAAGCGGTAAAGTAGTACGTACCTTCCCGATTCAAGGAATGACTCCGGGACCGTATTGATAATAAATAATAGCTACGATGAATTTTCTCTAAATTGTAAAATGCAGATAGGGCCTACCTATCATCAACAAAATGGAAAAGTTCCAAACACTTTATTCACAATCATGTTTGCCTTATTATCGAGTTATAAAAACAAAGCCTGAAAAATAGAAACAATGAATTTCGAACAAATAGCCCGTTTCGTGACAAATAAAATGCGTTGCTGGCGATTAAAAGTATTTCCGTTTATTGTCTGGCGCATTTTTCCGCGACGGATATAAATAAGCACACTGTGAATCTCGAACGGCTGGGTCAGGTCTTCCCGACGGCTATACAACACATTCTGAGGCCTCTCCTCCTTTTGTGTAGAGACACTTTTCTATAGTCAAAGTATAAAGTTATCCTTTATAGTTCTTCTACTAAAGTGTGTTGTTGGGTGAACCAGACGCTACGTGTTCTGGTTAATTAAATTGACTTTTAGTAGGCCTACGAATGAGCGTGTGCAATTAAGCAGCCCTATCATGTTTTTTCCACCGGTGGTTTTTTATTATTCGCAAATGACATTCTTATTTAAAGAATTTTTTAACTGATCTGTTGTTGCCGTGCGCCCTCTTTAGTTGAAGACTTTTTTGAAACAATACGTAACGAACAGTGATTGTCAAGGCAAGCATCATGCAACGCCGCCAGTCATCAGGACAGGATCGCATTCCTGTGTGGTCTTCTACTGTACGGTGAGCTCTTTGCTAGCTACTACCACACACGACACGGATGATTTGTAAGTCGGTCTTTATCTGATATTTAAAAAGTTATTATGTTTTCTCCTTTAATGTTTATTATTAATCAAATTAGTTTTAACGGAACTTTAGCGCTAACAGAGTTGCAAAGAAAAAAGAACAAAAAAAGTGCTTCAAACCGTACGAGGGCAAATAACACATATATCGTGATTCATAAACAGAGAAACGCCAGCTTATTGATCAATATGGCGTGTTTATACGAGGTCGAGGAAATAAATAATTAATAAAATAAATAATTAATAAAATTAACAATTATTAGGTAGTGTTTATTATGCCGGCGTCAGCAAAATGCATGCCAAAATCATTTTGTCTGTCTATATATGTGATTGTGGCTATTAATTGTTTCAAATTAATAGCCACGAAATACTACAATTCGCTGGGAACTAAAATTCGTACACCGGCAGACATTACACGCATTATTTTACCGTACATACTGCCGGTAAAAAGCTTCTTTCTACTAAATTGCCGGTTGGAATCACAAGTAGTGATAGGCCCTACATTAAGTGGCCTGAGGTTTGTTAGGGCCATCGGATCAAGTGAGCCACCGTCCATACCGACCTTCGCACACAACGTACAACCCAGCTAGTTGTTTCGGTTGTTTATAGTTTCCTGGTCTCATTTTGTATTCATAAACATATATGTTAGATTTATATAGCGCTTAACGCCAAAAGGCCTCTAAGCGCATTACTACCCCACTGGATTAACGCCTATGGAACACAAACTCAAGCTCCCTGGCCCGGGGGGAGTATTCCATAATGTTGCAGTAGCTACTTCAGCGCATTTGGCATTTAACCCTACTAGGTACCAATTTATACTCCTGGGTGCAGAGTAGCAATGCAGATTAAGTACCTTGCCCAAGGACACAAGTGAAATGCACAGCGAGTGGATTGAAACCCCGACCTCAAAGTTGGGGTCCAAACCGTTCCCACTGCACCAAGCCACTTCTACAAATATAAACATATATTGTTGTTCATAGTTTGTCTATCGCCAGTATTGTGCTGTTACTGTCATTAGGTCCCCGCCCAAACTTGTGTGTATAAATATCAGCAAGCTCAGTTCAACTCTAAGCATGTTTAACATTGTTCCCCACAGGAAAAAAAAAGGAATGTAAAGAAAAAAAAGACCGGGACATCTATTAGGTGTTTATTGTTCATAATTAGTGGCAGTATTGCTATGTATGTAGAAATGGACACATGGTCATTGATTGTTAGGCTGCTTTAATGCGATGCATGTTTTATGAAGTCCGGCTATATCAGAGGGATCCTCTTATACTTAAACACTATTGTATATTATGATATATTCTTGTTCCCTTTGTATTGTATCGGTCGTATAAACAATACATGACTTTTATATGTAGCAATAAAAATTGATTTGAGACACTTGTGATATGTTGTTTTGTACTTTTTGGCTGACAGTACTTAGAATTTTTATTTGAATAACATTTTAAAGTACACTTTAAAATAAAATAAAAATAAATATATAAGTATGGCCTATTGGACAAATATAAAACAAAATTAAACAAGAAAAGGAATGAAAATACAGAGTGGGTCAAAAGACTGATAGGCTTCATTGGTATTCTTTATCAGCACCACCCGGTATACAAGGTACCTGACGGAGGGGCTGATGTCCCCGACGAGAACAAAGTGGGTGTGGTCGGGCGCCGCTAAAAACCTTTCGACCCCCCCCCCAACCCATTCCACAAAAGAAAATGACAATGAGGGGTTTCAAAGGCTGATATTGCTTTTAGAGTCTATCAATATGTAGAAAATAAAAAAGCACTGTTCGGATATATAGGCTTATCGTACCCGTAGGAGAAAATAATTATAAAATCCTACAAAAAATACATAGGCGTCTAGGCCGCCACTGTAGTGGCGGGCTATTATCAGTGATGATGTAAAGTAGGATGTACAGTCTGTCTAGCATCAGAATCGATTAAAGACAATCATTGTTTGCTGCACTTCAAAAAATTGCAACAACAATTAGTCCAGTCCGAAATGTAGCAATATCAGAGGTTGCATTTTTTTTTTTTGCTATACGGTATTTTTAAAAAATTACATATGATGTAGAGTAGACATTAATAAATCAAAAAATTATGTGCAACATTTTTTTTTTCATACGTAAGGGGGTTTGCCAGCTGTTTCAAGGCCGCCAATTTTTCCTAAAATTGTCACTAATACTGTAAGTT